CTAGATATTGTTTATGGCCCTCTCATGATAAATAATTACTTTCGGGGATTACGTAGATACAATTTTCGATTACATTTTGTTACATTTAACTGCTCAAATCAGTTTTGTTTTTCAAATCAGTTTTATAATACTGACTATCCAAAATGTAAGTTACAAGTGACCAAATCGGATTTGGTCACTTGTAATTTGCTGTTTGGACAGTGTGCGCAGTGTCATAGTAATGACGGGTGTGTGCGCAGTGGTGTAGGTTGATTGGTGTTGGTGCTTGTGCTTCCTATCAGTCAGAAGTTATGTAGCAGGCTGAGGTGACAACAATGCCTGCCGTGAATGTTTCCCAGTTGCTTTAAATGTTCATACTCATAGTGTAAAAACACTTAAAGCCTCAAAGGATAAGATTATCTAACTTTCAAAATGAGTCATTTTTGGCTAGCCACAGCAATCAACTAGCTAGCTAGGTAAATGTTTAGCTTTCTAGCACATTTACAAATGTATGTGTAAACAATTAACAAGCTATTTGGCTACCACATGTGTTCTTGTCAAACTGTCAACAGAGTAGCCAGCAAGCAACAAGATATGCCAAATAAGCCTAAAAAAACACTTGTGGGCAAATAAATCAGATTTGACCGTTCAGACACAGGTCACATGGCCAGGAATCAGATTTGTGTCTGACTTCAAACCACCTATGAAGGTGGTTTGAAATGTGGCTTGAAATATCATATTCCATGTGCTTTTTGGCTGTTCAGACTGCAGGAAAAAGAACAGATTCGAATAGGGATATGCCAAAAAATAGGATTTTAGTCACTTCAAACTGCCAATGTGAACACGGCTTAAGAGCTTTGCACACCTGGATTGTACAGTATTTGCACATTATTCTTTTTAAAATTCTTCCAGCTCTGTCAAGTTGGTTGCTAGACAGACATTTTCAAGTCTTGCCATAGACCCTGAGATTGAAAGGTTGGGGGTTTGATGCCCAGTTGAGAATCGGACCTGATGCTTTTTTGCTTGGCCCTCTGCATTAAGGAGATTTATTGAATTTATTAGACAATTAGCATCCTGTCCAGTGGGTGTACTTGTAGATCTAGCTGCTTCATGCTACAGAAACAGAAGATAAGCTTTTGCCGCTATGGGACATTCTGGCTCAGACAAGGCTTACTTCTCCAAGGCTCACATACTTTCTAACCAAGGCTTGTTTTATCCCTGGGCCTGTTTATGGATAAAAGCCTATACAGACAGATTAGCATTAGATATCTGCTCCATTTTCACAGAATATTGACCAACAGAGCATCTTTGAAAGTCCTTTTCATATGCACCTCAAAAAACAAACAAGGGGTTTAGATGTTTTATCTATTGTGTGGCAAACCAACCAAATACAATTTCTTTAGATAAAAAAAAAAATGCTTTGAGGCTGACATTTTATTGGTAAAAATGTTCACACCCATTGTATTGTCCTTAAAACACCACTACACCCCCCACCTCTTTTTTACTATGTTTTCTACAAACCTTCCAGAGAGGCCATGAGTAATGGCAAACCTTAAAGGCCCAGTGCTGTGAAAATTCAGTATCATATCAAATTTTGTATCATATTGTACAAAAACTGATCATTTCAGCTGTTATTTCCGAATAGTTGCTGGTTGAAAATACAATCAACACAGGACGTTTTAATCAGCAGGTTTTGGAGGTGCCCTTCCTCTTCCACTCCCAGACAGTCATAGCGACATTCTTGCTTGAGAAATAGTTTTAACAACAACAAAAAAAAGTTTTTTATTTTTGACTACTTTAATGGAAAACTATTACAGTAAGGTACTTAATTGTTACCCAGAAATGATTTGATATTGAGATAAAACAGCTGCGTTGAGCCTTTAAAATGCAGGAAATTCGTTAAAAAAATTCTACAACTTTCTGGGGGAGGACCCACACAACCCCACCAAAATTGGTCCCACCAATGTTCAAATGAAAGAGGACAATCACTTTGGTATAGCCTATACTACAACAGGCTTATTTAATAATTGAATTTAGCAAAAATAAATCCAAATAAAATTAAGTAACATTCTATTGGCCACGTACACATATTTTATTGTGGGTGTAGCGAAATGCTTATGTTCCTAGCTCCACCAGTGCAATAATATCTAACAATTCAAAACAATGCACCAAATCCCCAAAATAAAAAGAAAGGAATTTGAAATATATAAATATTAGAACGAGCAATGTCAGAGTCCCAGAATATAAATATATATGTACAGTATATGATGGTGTGTATAGAAATTATGGACAGTATATGAATAGGAAAGGTGTGCGGATGGACCATTTGTGCGGATGGACCATTTATGTTGTTAGTGATGTGCATACCAAGGAACTTAAGGCTTTTGAACTTCTCCACTGCAGCCTGTCGAGGTGGATGGGGGCATCCTCCCTCTGCTGTCTCCTCAAGTCCATGATCAGTTCCTTTGTTTTGTTGACGTTGAGGGAGAGATAATTTTCCTGGCACCACTCTGCCAGGGCCCTCACCTCCTCCCTGTAGGCTGTCTCGTCATTGTTGGTAATCAGGCCTACCACTGTTGTGTCATCTGCAAACTTGGTGATTGAGTTGGAGACGTTCGTGGCCACACAGTCATGGGTGAACAGGGAGTACAGGAGGTTGCTGAGCACGCACCCTTGTGGGGCCCAGTGTAGCGGAGGTGTTGTTGCGGCAGGTAGCTTAGTGGGTAAGAGCGTTGTGCCAGTAACCGAAAGGTCGCTGGTTCTAATCCCCGAGCCGACTAGGTGAAAAATCTGTCGATGTGCCCTTGAGCAAGGCACTTAACCCTAATTGCTCCTGTAAGTCGCTCTGGATAAGAGCGTCTGCTAAATGACTAAAATGTAATGTAAATGTCTACCTTCACCACCTGGGGCTGGCCCGTCAGGTCCAGTCTGGGTTTTTCCTTTGCATTAGAGTAAACTACCTGTGAATTTTCTACCTCTACTATGGTTTTATGCCTGGCCTTTGCTGAACACTTACTCATCAAGGACATGGCTGAGTTTGTGTTCGCAATAGGTCCTCTGCTTAGCTTTCCCCGGAGCAAACTCTATTGATCTTAGCCGCTGAATTTGCATTTCAGTTCACTTTTCCTCATTTAAAAGGGTGATTGCAAATATCTCGCAGAGGCCAAAGAATGACGGGGGAATTGAAGCTATGGTTGATACCAATCAGTCACACAAAATTAATGAGCTTATCAGCATAATGTAAATAGTGCAGGAGTTAATTGCTTTAGACCTTCCCCTTCTATGCAAGTGTCATGTTCGTATCTGCAAGGTAATACAATGATTGGATAAATACAATTAACTTTAGTTAGTGTAGGCCTATACTAATTTCTGTGACAAAAAAGTGGCAATTTGTTTTACTGGCCTATAACTGTGTAGCATCAGGTTATAAAGAGAATAAAGAGCGTCAAATGGTATGATTGTAATATATAGTAGGTAAATACATTTATAGCAAAAATATAAATGTGAAGTTATGTAAATCAAATATTTAAAAAACATTAAGGTGCCCCGACTTTTCTTCTTCCCTGCAGTGCTCACTTTGGGAACCATTAGGTAGAAAGAGAATTTAGTGTTCGGTCTGAAGCAATTCCCAAAAAGACACAAAGGTATGAAACACAATTGGTAAGGAGAGCCAAACTCACAAACAAAAGGTACGTCCCAAATAGGTATGGGGCAGGTCCTGGTCAAAAGTAGTGCACTATTACAGGGAATAGGGTGCTATTTGGGACCGACACTTTGTTTGAGTCTGGGTCTCAACTCCTCCCAATTAGACCTGAATCCATAGCCTCATTAGCTCGGCCAGGTTGGAGGACTCATTCCCCCGATGTCTCTTTCTCTCACCCTAACAAGACAAACAATGAGGTTCCAATTATTCTGTACAATGTGGCGCTATAACACAGGTCCACAGGCTTTATTAATTTAATCTGCAACAACGAATCCACTCATATGGTGTGATATAGACTACCCCCCTGGAATGCGGATCAATAAATCAACATAGTCCATTCCAATAAAAAATCATTTAGGCTAGAATCGGCCTAGACTAGAGTCAGGGTTAGGTGTTCAGCTAGCCTATATTTATTGTTGGTTTGCTTTAGGAGTGGTGTGTTTTAGGATTGTGTCTGATAATCTAATGAAGGTTAGGCCTTGTGATGATGAGCCAATGACGGCCAAAAAAGGTGCATAGTAATTTACCTTTCGTTTAAAAAAAATAATTTATAGATATGAAAGTACAGTTTCCAAACATGTATCGCAAGCGAGGAGTATTAGACAGAGCGCTGGGACTGTACACATTGGCCGTGCCATCATCAATGCTTTACTTAAGAACCCAAAAGGCCCCCATCTTGTGTGATGAACGAGAGTTATCCTGGCCTCACCCAGAGCCCTCACCACATAATGCTCATTAATGTCTATAACACTATGATAATTCATTAATTAATTAAATGAAAATATAGCCAATATTTGATATTTTAAATGATGCCTACATATAAATAATGACAAGTGAAAAGTATACCTACATTCATCAGTTTACATCAATGGTTTAGGTCCAACACTGCTTGTCCGTTTGAATCAACATTTAAGCACACTCTTTTGTATGTGAAGTTATCTAAAAATAAACACATACATAAATGTGTTTTAAATGTATCCAATCACATTTAGATTAGGCCTACATTTCTGTAGAGAAGTGGGTTATTATGAGACTGATTCTTCTGAGTGAATAGAGAGAAGTGGGTTCTGAGTATAAAACTACTTTGCCCGTCAGCCATTGCAAAATGTTGGACGACTGTAAATAATCACCATCTTTTTGCGATATCGTCCTATTCCTAAATCTTAATTGTGAGATTACTACATTATTTTGATGTTGTGTAATGTAAACAGGTTTATATATGTTATAGAAATGAATAGAAAATACATTTATTTTGATACTTGATAGTTAACGTTGCACTGAGATTTTGGTACCAGTTGTCCATCTTCCTGCTAACTATAGCTAATGTTAGCTTGCTAGCTAGCTAGTTCTTCGATTTCAAGATTGGATTTTGTCGTGGTGTTGGCAGCTTCTGTAATTATGTCTAGACAATCCAGTTTTAAACCGGTGACCCATGTTCTTTTCGACATGGATGGATTATTATTAGGTTATTAATATATACTTTATATTTGAACTGAAACGATGAAATTACCTGTCTGAGCAGAACAGAATGTGACACGAGTCCGAGCTACCTAACCTCGGCCTAGCATTCAGTGACAGCTCATTCATTCCTGTGTGTCAACCACGGTGAAGCAAAAAGAACATGTAACGTTTGATAGTTATCTGTAAAGGAATCTTTCTACAACCATAACATTAGCTAATCATTTCCATTTGCTGTCTTGCGTAGTCTTCTGAATGTCGTGATGTAAAGCTAGACTCCTTAGTTAAAAGCTGCCTATGTTTAAGTATAAAGCTGAGGGATGGTGTGGATAAATATAACCACTCAAATTGAGTTATTGAATTATAGATTTAACCGTGTTTTGAAGCTTTACAATTTGTTTACATTTCAGTTCTTTACAAACATTGTAGTTTAATGGGGTATGACAGTTGAACTAAACTCATGAGGCATTTATAAGTTATATTCTTCAAGAATCAATGGGTGTACATCATTAATTTATACGTCCAAAACTTGATGTAGCAACTAAGGATTCGAGCTTTAAGTTAAACATGTGTGGTGATAACATAGCTAGCTAACTTTTATTTTACTCCGTTTTGAACTTGCAGATACAGAGAGGCTGTATACGGTGTCTTACCAGGAAGTATGCGACCGGTTTGGAAAGAAATACACCTGGGACGTGAAGTCTTCTGTGATGGGGAAGAAAGCTATGGAGGCTTCCACCATTATACGAGACTCCCTACAACTACCAATGACACCAGAGGAACTTCTCAGTGAGACTACAAAAATACAGGAGAGGATATTTCCTTCAGCTCAATTGATGCAAGGTAACTAAAATTGTTTGTGTGGGTTACTGTTAGCGTGGTATAGTTGTAGTTTGTGGTACAGTTTTCATAGTTACCATAACATAAACAAAATAATTGATTCTCACATATGAAATATCAGTCTCTGATGAGTTTATTGACAAACAAACTTTAATCTCATGTTTTCATTACTGTGTGTGTGTCCTGTATACGTAGGAAGACACTACAGACTGTCAATATTCAGAGTGGTAGGGCTCTCAAACTCAACTCTGGACCTTCGAAGCCAGTTCCACTGCATTTTTTTATTGTTCCCATCTAATCAGGGACTGATTTAGACCAGGGACACCAGGTGTGTGCAATTAATTATCAGGTAGAATAGAACACCAGCAGGCTCCGGACCTTGTAGAGTAAGTTGAGTACCCCTGCTCTAGGACATGAGGCACAGGGAGTGTGATTTGTTTCGATTTTTTGTGTTCACTGTGTGTGCTTGTCTGTGTGTAGGACTAACCAATGATGTGTACGGTGCATTCGGAAAGTATTCAGACCCCTTGACTTTTTCCACATTTTGTTACGTTAAAGCCTTATTCTAAAATTGATTAAATAAAAAAAATGTCCTCATCAATCTACACACAATTCCCCATAATGACGATGCGAAAACAGGTTTTTAGAAATGTTTGCAAATGATAAGTATTCAGACCCTTTGCTACGAGACTCGAAATTGAGCTCAGGTGCATCCTGTTTCCATTGATCATCCTTGAGATGTTTCTACAACTTGTGGTAAATTCAATTGATTAGACATGATTTGGAAAGGCACACACCTGTCTATATAAGGTCCCACAGTTGACAGTGCATGTCAGAGCAAAAACCAAGCCATGAGGTCGAAGGAATTGTCCGTAGAGCTCCGAGAAAGGATTGTGTCGAGGCACAGATCTGGGGAAGAACAGGGAGAAGGGCCTTGGTCAGGGAGGTGACCAAGAACCCGATGGTCACTCTGACAGAGCTCCAGAGTTCCTCTGTGGAGATGGGAGAACCTTCCAGATGGACAACTATCTCTGCAGCACTCCACCAATAAGGCCTTTATGGTAGAGAGGCCAGACGGAAGACACTCCTCAGTAAAAGGCACATGACAGCCCGCTTGGAGTTTGCCAAAAGCCATTTAAAGGACTCTCAGACCATGAGAAACATGATTCTCTGGTCTGATGAAACCAAGATTGAACTTTTGGCCTGAATGCCAAGCGTCATGTCTGGAGGAAACCTGACACCATTCCTACGGTGAATCATGGTGGTGGCAGCATCATGCTGTGGGGATGTTTTTCAACGGCTGGGATTGGGAGGACTGGTCAGGATCGAGGGAAAGATGGACAGAGCAAAGTACAGAGAGCTCCTTGATGAAAACCTGCTCCAGAGCACTCAGGACCTCAGACTGGGGCGAAGGTTCACCTTCCAACAGGACAACGACCCTAAGCACACAGCCAAGACAACGCAGGAGTGGCTTCGGGACAAGTCTCTAAATGTCCTTTAGTGGCCCAGCCAGAGCCCGGACTTGAACCCGATCGAACATCTCTGGAGAGACCTGAAAATAGCTGTGCAGCGACGCTCCCCATCCAACCTGAGATGATCTGCAGAGAAGAATGGGAGAAACTCCCCAAATACAGGTGTGCCAAGCTTGTAGCGTCATACCCAAGAAGACTCGAGGCTGTAATCGCTGCCAATGGTGCTTCAACAAAGTACTGAGTAAAGTGTCTGAATACATACAGTGAGGGAAAAAAGTATTTGATCCCCTGCTGATTTTGTACGTTTGCCCACTGACAAAGACATGATCAGTCTATAATTGTAATGGTAGGTTTATTTGAACAGTGAGAGACAGAATAACAACAAAAAAATCCTGAAAAACGCATGTCAAAAATGTTATAAATTGATTTGCATTTTAATGGGGGAAATAAGTATTTGACCCCTCTGCAAAACATGACTTAGTACTTGATTGCAAAACCCTTGTTGGCAATCACAGAGGTCAGACGTTTCCACCAGGTTTGCACACATCTCAGGAGAGATTTTGTCCCACTCCTCTTTGCAGATCTTCTCCAAGTCATTAAGGTTTTGAGGCTGACGTTTGGCAACTCAAACCTTCAGCTCTCTCCACAGATTTTCTATGGGATTAAGGTCTGGAGACTGGCTAGGCCACTCCAGGACCTTAATGTGCTACTTCTTGAGCCACTCCTTTGTTGCCTTGGCAGTGTGTTTTGGGTCATTGTCATGCTGGAATACCCATCCACGACCCATTTTCAATGCCCTGGCTGAGGGAAGGAGGTTCTCACCCAAGATTTGACGATACATGGCCCCGTCCATCGTTCCTTTTGATGCGGTGAAGTTGTCCTGTCCCCTTAGCAGAAAAACACCCCCAAAGCATAATGTTTCCACCTCCATGTTTGACGGTGGGGATGGTGTTCTTGGGGTCATAGGCAGCATTCCTCCTCCTCCAAACACGGCGGGTTGAGTTGATGCCAAAGAGCTCGATTTTGGTCTCATCTGACCACAACACTTTCACCCAGTTCTCCTCTGAATCATTCAGATGTTCATTGGCAAACTTCAGACGGGCCTGTATATGTGCTTTCTTGAGCAGGGGGACCTTGCGGGCACTGCAGGATTTCAGTCCTTCACGGCGTAGTGTGTTACCAATTGTTTTCTTGGTGACTATGGTCCCAGCTGCCTTGAGATCATTGACAAGATCCTCCTGTGTAGTTCTGGGCTGATTCCTCACCATTCTCATGATCCACAAGGTGAGATCTTGCATGGAGCCCCAGGCTGAGGGAAATTGACAGTTCTTTTGTGTTTCTTCCATTTGCGAATAATCGCACCAACTGTTGTCACCTTCTTACCAAGCTGCTTGGTGATGGTCTTGTAGCCCATTCCAGCCTTGTGTAGGTCTACAATCTTGACCCTGACATCCTTGGAGAGCTCTTTGGTCTTGGCCATGGTGGAGAGTTTGGAATCTGATTGATTGCTTGCTTCTGTGGACAGGTGTCTTTTATACAGGTAACAAGGTGAGATTAGGAGCACTCCCTTTAAGAGTGTGCTCCTAATCTCAGCTCGTTACCTGTATAAAAGACACCTGGGAGCCAGAAATCTTTCTGATTGAGAGGGGGTCAAATACTTATTTCCCTTATTAAAATGCAAATCAATTTATAACATTTTTGACATGCGTTTTTCTGGATTTTTTGTTGTTGTTATTCTGTCTCTCACTGTTCAAATAAACCTACCATTAAAATTGTAGACTGATAATTTCTTTGTCAGTGGGCAAACGTACGAAATCAGCAGGGGATCAAATACTTTTTCCCTCACTGTATGTAAATGTGATATTTCATTTGTTTTTGCTTTGTCACTATGGGGTATTGTGTGTAGATTGATGGGGGAAAAAACAATTTAATCAATTTTAGAATAAGGTTGTAACGTACCAAAATGTGGGGGGAAAAAAAGTGAAAAATGAAAATGTAAAAATGAAAAAGTCAAGGGGTCTGAATACTTTCTGAGTACACTATATGTCTGTGTATAACCAGGAGTGGAGAAGCTCGTCCACCATCTCTGTAAACACAACGTGCCCATCGCCGTAGCGACAAGCTCAGGAGGCCTGACTTTTGAGATGAAGACCAGTCAGCACAAAGCCTTCTTTGACCTGTTCAGCCACATCGTCCTGGGGGATGACCCCGATGTGAAAAACAGCAAACCTCAGCCTGACTCCTTCTTGGTGTGTGCCAGCAGGTTCACTCCTCCTGCGCCTCCAGCCACGGTAAGAGGGACAGGCGAGGAGGGACAGTAGCCTACAGTGGGTAGTGGAGACTATTGCCTCATTTTTGTTGCCTCATGAATGAATAAATAAGCTAAGCATAAAATAACCAGCCATGAAAAAAGGGACAGAACTTTGGACACGCTAAGACACTCTCATACACACCTAGTCATGTTGGAGGGGGAAAGCAGCCTGAAGGTCACCAATTCTTACTAATCATGGCTCACATGCTATAAATGATATTAAGAGGGACAGGGTAGTGGACAGTGGGCTGGCGCAACTTATATAATGCTGAAAAAGAGCAACCCCTAAAGGTTTTACACCAATTCAGTTGTTAAGAAAAAAAAATGTGTTTGTTACATATTATATTCATGCATGGGCTAATCATTCAGCAGATAAACGAAAGTGTTTTTATAGGAACCTGTAGAATTGCATTTATACCTCCAAGAAAGTGGGTTAACTCTTAAGCCCATAACCAATTCTGTTGTTAGGAAGGTTACCAAGGCTAATGTCATCCTGTCATGCTTCAATGCCCCAGCAATCACCTGTTCCTAAGAAATGCCAAAGGAATTATTATCAAGACACTGACTGACTGACCGACTGTAGCAGATCTAAACTAGGCTATTGAAAGTGTAGGCCCTATTTATAGGAACCTATGGAATTTCATTTATTTACACATCCAGAAAGCGAGGGAAAGGATTTAGTCTATAACCGACTTCATACTCTTTCATTCATTTCCATTTTTGATGCCAATGTTTTGGCTAATTAAGGGTAGCTGTAAGTAACAGATCTGTGTTGTCAACACCAGCTATGAAAATTCCCCCAACACTCCCACAACACAGAGGAATCACACTGTGTACATCCCAAATGGCACCCATAGTGCTCTAGTCAAATGTAGTGCACTAAATAAGGAATAGGGTGCTACTAGGGACTTGGCCACTACCATGTTTAATCACCTTCCTTCCATGCCAGTTCTAGCAAACCCATCTATGAAATATGTCTACAATCAACAGGGTTAGAAGACTACATGAATATTCAGTTGGTTTTACAGAGAGCTCTCAAATGAAAAACTGAAAAAGGGAACCCAAAAAGAGAGTGGTTAATAGGTTTGGATTTGTTGTTTTCCTTCTTTTGGTAAATGAATCTCCCTAACAGGTGCAGGGCTGTAGATTTTTCTGCAAATGGGTCTGCAGCAGCAGCATCCTTCATTACTTGTCAGCCTGCTTTTTTAATCTAGGAGGCTTCCACACATCCGCAGTTAGGACTTGCATTTTTCTTGATGAGATATGCAACTGCGTCTGAGAGGGGAATCGGTTCAGTGTTCAGTGGAATAACGAATTATGATGCGTCACTCCCTGGCACCTCTTCTCTCTCCGTGACAGTTTTACTTAAGCACAGAGAGAGAAATAGGGAGGGACAGATTGCGATTCAGGATTGCAAGGAGGAGACAGGAGAAAGACAGAGTGAATGCAATAATTAGAAAAGAGGAGTGTGTATTAACATTGTGTTTACAGCTTCTCTCCTACCCCCAGCTTAGTAGAAGCAGTGATGAATTTACAATGACTTTAATTAATTGTAGTGAGGCATATTACAGAAACAGCAGCGAAGACAGGCGCAGGTGATACATTTTAAGTTTTAGTACTGTATGTTGCTGGCAGTTTTTTTTTTCTCCCATTTGCTGAATTTTTTGGTGCTTTCTTACAGCTATAATGTAAACATTATTTTAAGCTTTCACTGGAACTGTACATATTCAGTAACAGTTAGGCAGTGACATTTCAATACATTTCTCAGGATGCATTTTTCTTCTGGTCCTTAAAAGGTTGCTGTTTATATCGGAGTTATTAGGAGGGAGGTTTCCTGGAATACATGCATGAAGCAACTAGAGGCATTTTGAAGGCCATGATGATGCTATGCAACACTGCAGGTAATACGCCTGGCAGACTGCTTAAAACCCTCTCACAAGTGAGTAATGTGCCCAGCCCAGTACTCTGTCTCTATGGTGACCAAAGGCAAGGAAATAGTCCACCTCCTCCTCCATTTTTCACTTTCTTCTCAGCACTCAAAAATACTATGACATAGAGAGACAGAGTGAGGGAGAAAGGGAGGGAGACAGACAGAGGGAGAGAGGCGAGAAAAGGTTTTTACTAAAGGTGTGTGTGCTCAGCCTACCAACTAAGATTAATGAAACATGAAAACGCTCTAGTTCATGTTCGTATAGTCTGTGTCCCAAATTGCTCTGGTCAAAAGTAGTGCACTTTGCAGGGAATAGGGTGCGATTTGGGACTTACATTGAAAGACAGGGAGAAAAGTAATTCCGCTACCGTTAATCATAAATGACCTTACACCAAGGAAAGGTTTATAGCCCCAAATACGGTACAATTATGACATGAAATTAACTTGTAGAAAATTAAATAAGCCAATTATAGCATGGATTATCTTAAAGATATTTAAAGAGCGACTTGTGTTCAACTGTTGTTGGTAGTTGATGTTAGAAACTGAATATGTGCATGGGAAAAAGTATTGCCTTACTAAAAGACAGATGTCTTAGCACTCCTACTTAGTCTAAAAACCCTGTGTAGACTGTGGTAAAAGAAACCCAACCAACCTTATTTAAAAGAGTGAGGCACCAAGATGTTTCAGAAAGACCTACTTGCATCCCAAATGGCACCATATTCCCTCTTAATGCACTACTTTTGACCAGGTCCCATAGGGCTCTGGTCAAAATAAGTACACTGTATAGGGAATAGGGTGCCATTTGGGACTAAGTCACAGAGTGGCTCACACAGAGGGTGTAAAGAGTCAGTACAGAGACTCTATTCCCTCTTGGCTCCAGAGCTTGGATATGTAGCTAGCCTAGATAATGATGCTGCAACAACAACAACAGCAACAACAACACAACGCTGCTTTAGGGACAGCTAGTCGCCTCGGCTACACCACCGTATTTTATGGGCATTTCAGCTGTCAGGACCCAGTGGGCCCCTCTGCTCTCTGCTGTGTAGATGCACCAACCACATAATAAATGGTAATTGCTACTATAATCCCAAAATAGACACATTATTCAATATTTCTAGACCATATAGTCAATTTCTTTCTTTTATTTGTCAATTTAGCTATCCCAGTGTGAACTGTGATGTGTTTGTTGTGCCCAGTGTGTTTAGTGCCAGTGGGTTGAAATGGTCAGTGACTAAAACAGGCTTGATGTATCTATCTGAGTAGTGGCAACTAGAAGCTGTGCTATTCTACAGCCCTAATGATGTTCCTTATGAACAGACAGTCCCATGTGCTTTGAAGGAGCAGGTAGGGCCTCACTGCGAGTAAAAAAAACGGCAGTGTTTTTTAATATCAGCTCTATGAAATATTAAATATTTGAGCTTTAAAGTAAAGTATGGACACAGTGGTTCTTTAAGTGGTCAGAAGGTCAGCCCTTAATGCCAAGAGATTTAATACCGCTTGCCCTATACTCAGCAGTAATGTGCTTGTTTGGGTTTTTATATCTAGTGCTGCATTTTAATGGCCTAAAACCTATGAACTCACATTCATTTCAGATACACAATATTATTTTCTTTGTTAAAGTCCTTTATGAACACAGACTTCATGTTAGTGTTTCACTAAGCCTTTTGGGTCCTTTTCTGTGCACACCAAATCAGGAAGGGGAGAATACATTGTCAGTGGGTCTGTCTGAATTTATGAGGAGCTTTAACAGTATTGATCACTCCTTTTATTCTGTTGGAAAGAAATGCCAACACTGGCACGAAGATATAAGATTAACGGACGGACACTCGGTCAAAGGTGATTTTTATGAGCTCCCAGGCAGTGGCACTGTCACAGCCGGTAGACAAGCTAAAGGCTATTTCCTGAAGGACTAGTTCACTGAAATATCATGGTTTGTTAATGATTTTCTTATCTGGAAGGTAGTTGTGGAAGGTGGTGCGGGAGAGAATTGACTTCACTCAATCATCAATAGGTATGTCTTTACCTTGATCTTCTATTTCCACCATTTCTAGATAACGTGACCCTTACCTACGGTTATTTATGAAGTCTACCTATTCCATAGCCTGTATGTATCCTAAATCTTTCAAAACCTAATCTTTCTCAACAGATTCAGGGCGCTCCGCAAGCACAGCGGCTGTTAGAAGAGACTATTCTAAACCTAGTCCTTTTCTCAGTAAAAGATGAAAACGTGTCCTCACTCCTCAGACACCAAATGAAAGCTATTCTGCTCCTGGCTGCCATCTGGCCTAGAGTGACAAACATCTGACTGACCTCTCCGTGTGATTTCCCTCAGGTTGACCAAACCACTCATTAGCCTTGTGAACGCAGCCCTCTGGAGGCCAATGGATTGCCCTGATATGCATTTATACTGTGACCTCCAGGGCTGCATCCCAAATGACATCCTATTCCCTTTATAGTGCACAACTTTTGAGTGCACTACAGAGCCTTATGGACCCTGGTCAAAAGTTGGGCACTATAAAGGGAATAGGGTGCCATTTAGGACGTAACCACCATGACCTCCAGGTTTTGATATGATGGCCTGCATTTCCTGTTTCCTGTGTATAAAGAAAGTACCCCGTAACACAGATGATAAAACTTTACACATCCTGTAGTCAGCCTGCCCTGGGCTTAGAGATGGTTTAGAAGATGTAGGAGGAAATCTATCGCTGTCTCTTCACTCACTCAACAACCCACGTTGCAGGCCCGAATATACACACTCGCACAAATTCCTTACCGTGTGATGTGTTTAGAGTTTAAAGTATTTTCTTGCTAAGGTACCATTCATCAAGTTTGAGAATGCATCAGTCTGAGACAGAATGTTTGATGAGTGAACACACTGCTGCACTACCTACCTTATTGCATTAACCTCCAGACCAGTAGTAGGGACCATGTTTCTGTCCGTCTGTCAGGCAGTGTATACTGAGTGATTTGATAGTGTCAAACAGAGCCCATGTTTTCACAGAATGGTGTCGGAACAAGACAAGAGGCAGAATGATTGTTTTATTTACCCAACATAAACAAAAAATAAACTGCTCTGATTAAATATTGAAGGGATAGAGACTGTAAAAACACAGTTATTTTAGTGAATGGCTGTGTCACCGTGACAAGCCCCATCTTAAGCTGTGCTAAAGTTAAGACACACAGGCACTCTGGTGTTGACATAGCTGGTTTGCCTTGTCGTGTCAGACGTTGACAAAAGCGACAAGTAAAGTAATATGTTGGAGCAGAGGATCAGCCTCTTTTAAGATATAACACTGAGGAAAGAAGAAAATGATTTGTTGAATGGATCACTGTCAAACTACTGTGTGTCAAAAGTCCATTCAAAATACGTTCTTTTTTGTCTCCTGATGTGTCCTTCCAGGAACATGAAAATGACACAAAATGACATGATAAATAGAAAATGACACAGTAAAGGTAGTATTTAGTACTAGTATTTAGTAGTAGTATTTATTGGGATCCATACAGGAAACAAATGCAACAAATAATATAATATACATAATCTCCTGCCTCTGTCTCACGCTTCAGACACAGGAGATGTCTCCTGCCCTATGAGCTGTTCTGGCTCACACAAGCCAAGGCTCGTGCAAGGCCACCCATCTACATAATGCAATACATAATACAGTGTAAATTACAATACAAAATATATAAAAATGGCTGTGTCTCTTCAAAGTCTCCTTTTGTGCCATAAGGTGTTCTTTTATCTGTTTTTTTAAATATGGTTTTATTGCTAATTTGAGTTACCTGGGGTGGCAGAGGTCCATGTAGTCATGCCTCTATTTAATACTGTGCGTTTCCCAGCCTCTGTTCTAGACCTGGGGACTGTGAAGAGACCTGTGGTTGCATGTCTTGTGTTGTACCAATGACTGTCCAAACTGTGTGCCAACTGCTTGAACAGACAGTTCAGTACTTTCAACACCTCAATACCTTGCACAAAGACCAATAGTGATGCAGTCAATCTCTCCTCATCTTTGAGCTAGGAGAGATTGACATGCATGTTACTGATATTCGCCCTCTGTGTACATCTAAGTGCTGCTCTGTTCTGGACCAACTGCAATTAACCTATGTCCCTCTTTGCTGCACATGACCACACAACTGGGCCGTAGTCCAGGTGCGACAAAACTAAGGCCTGTAGGACCTGTCTGGTCGATTGAGATGTCAAGAAAGCAGAGCAACACCTTATCATGGACAGGCCTCTTCCCATTTTAGTAACCATTGAGTCTATATGTTTTGACTATGATAGCTTGCTATCTAGGGTTATACCCAGCAGTTTAGTCTCCTCAACTTGCTCAATTGCCACATTATTCAATAATAGATCTGGAGGAGGTTTAAGGTTGAGTGAATGATTTGTCCCAAAAACTATGCTTTTAGTTTTTGAGATATTTAGCACCAGCCTATTGCTAGTTACCCGTTATTCTAAAACTGACTGGAGCTCTATGTTAAGAGTGTAATTTATTAAATGTACTGTCGTAGCCGACGTACACTGAGTGTACTAAACATTAGGAACACCTGCTCTTTCCATGAGACTGACCAAGTGAATCCAGGTGAAAGCTACAGTATGATCCCTTATTCATGTCACTTGTTAAATCCACTTCAATCAGTGTAGATGAAGGGGAGGAGACAGGTTAAAGAAGGATTTTTAAGCCTTGAGATAATTGAGACATGGATTGTGTATGTGTGCCATTCAGAGGGTGAATGGGCAAGACAAAATATTTAAGTGCCTTTGAATGGGGTATGATAGTAGGTGCCAGGCACACTGGTTTGAGTGTGCCAAGAACTGCAACGCTGCTGTGTTTTTCACGCTCAACAGTTTCCCGTATGTATCAAGAATGGTCCACCACCCAAAGGACATCCAGCCAACTTTACAAAAATGTGGGAAGCATTGGAGTCATCATGGGCCAGCATCCCTGTGGAACGCTTTCAACACCTTGTAGAGTCCATGCCCCGATGAATTGAGGCTGTTCTGAGGGCAAAAGGGGTGGGGGGGTGGGGGGGTGCAACTCAATATTAGGAAGGTGTTTCTAATGTTTTGTACATTCTGTGGAAGGTCATTAGTAGAAACAGAAAACAATGGCCCAAGCCGGCTGCCCTGCGATACACCACACTCAACCGAATTCCATGAAAGAAAACCCTCTGTGTTCTATTAGATGGGTAACTCTCAATCCACAATAAGGCAGAGGATGCAAATCCATAACGCCTACGTTTTTTTCAGCAATAGGTTTTGATCAATGATAGTCTTAACAAAACAGCTCCCACAATCTTCTTACTGGAAATGTCTTTCAGCCAATCATCAGTCATTTGTGTCAGTGCCGAGCATGTTGAGTGCCCTTCCCTATTATGTATGCTGAAAGTCTGTTGTTATTTTGTTTTCTGTAAAATAACTTTGGAGCCCCACTGTACCTTCGTCAACCCTCATCCATCTGGTCCAATTACCTGTGTAGGTTGGGTAGTGTTGTATGGCTAGAGACCCAGCTTTATGTCCTAATTTTCCTGGTCCATGTGTAGGTTGAGTAGAAGGTTATAGGGTCCATGTTTAGGTTGAGTATAAGGTTATAAGGTCCATGTGTAGGTTAAGTAGAAGGTTATAGGGTCCATGTGTAGATTGAGTAGAAGGTTTATAGTGTCCATGTGTAGGTTGGGTGCATATGGAGACTATGACCTACGGTTCTCTGCTTCTCCATCTGGGCAGAATGGCTCATCTAATGAGTATTCCCCAAGGGCTGACCCTGCTGCCAGGTCAAGTCTACATTGTGTGACAGATCCAGACCCTGCTCTCTGTTTATGGTCGCATAGGCCTACCATAACATCAGTCCATATGATTAAAACCCATAACTGTCCATATGATTCAATCCCATTCTCCAGTCCCAGTTTCTTTGAAGGAAACTTTTCTCTCTATGTTCTAAGTGTCCTATGATAGCCCTGTAAACTACTAAACGTCCTGGTCCGTCCTGCTGAAGTAGCTGCTGCCGGCTGCCAAGCAGACCTTGGATCTGCTCCATAACAACACTACGCTGTGTCCTCTCATCTCCCCTTAATACACCGTTATAAAGGGAGTGCGTGTGACGTGCTGCTGAGCCGGCTATTCACAGTAGTCTTGGCACCAGCCACTGCAGTCTGAGTTGCGTCCCTAATGGCATCCTATTCCCTTCGTAGTGCACTACTTTTGAGAAGAGCCTGGTCAAAAGTAGTGCACTATGTAAGGAATAGGGTGTCATTTGGGAGGCATCCACACAAACACACTGAGTCTCCCCCTCTTCTCTTCTTCTGTTGTGGCAGTGACTGCCTTGGGTACACTGTGAATACAGATTCAATTGGTTCTGATGAATGTTGCATGTGTTTGGGTGTACGCCTCGGGACTGGTTGTTAATCTTCCATTGGGCTGGCTGTTGGAGGCCTGCATGGCAAGCGACTTTGGGTTCTCTGTCTGTTCTCCGTTCACTGTTCCCAATACATGTTACAGCAGGCCAGTAGTTTAACAATAAAATATAGATTTTTGAAGCAAACTTCCATTGTCCTAACAATGAGTGGGAGAAAAGACCCTTGACCCTTTATAGGGCAAATCACCTTCCCAATCTCTCTTTGCCGCTGTGACTTGTAGCCAGGTCACAGATCTGTTTGTGCTCTTGCAAACTCCATTGCTTATTGTCAAGCCAAACATGTTTGTCATGACAATGAGTGACAAGGAGTTGGCATGATCGCACAAACAGACTTCCCCCTGAGCCAACATGAAGCCGCAGTGCATTTGTGTCCTGTTTCCCTCTCCTCCATTACAATGCAGCCATTGAACACTGATTAAAGGTTCATTTGCCTGGCTCATTGCCTAATTCAGAGTCTTAGTTGCTTCCTATCAAGGGGCATTATCTAGTTAGGGCCCCTCGGTTACCTTGCTGCTCAGTGTTTCCACACTTATTGTCCCTCTCCTAGGCTACTTCTAGGCTGTGACATCACAAGAGTCAATTAGGCAAATCTTCTAGAGTCCTCGAGTCGGCTTCTGTTGTTCCACCTGAGAACCTTTTTAGGAGGTTATTTTAGTTCCATTTGAGAATTAGAGAAGAGACTGACTGGTAGTTGTGGTTAAGGGCATTTCTGAAGCTGCTAGGTGAATTTGGTACGTTTAAATTACATTTTCTTTCACCATTAGTGTGTGAGGTAAGTAAGTCAAAGGCAAATTGGAGGGAAATCACGTAGTAGAAAGAACATTGCAGAAAATACTGTGATTTTGTGATTCTTTTTGTTCACTCATTCAAATTATAGGGGTTGATTGAACCTTGAATTAGGTAGAGTGGTGGGAGACGTCTTTGGAGGGGGTGTTTTATTTGAAAAGCCAGGAAGCGTAGCTATTGAGGTTCAAAAAGCACAGGATGTCGGAAGTTACCAATGAATAAAAGGGAAGCTCTGGTCACTCAGTTCTTTGTCCGTTCTTCTCAACACTGCTTCCATATTGGCTTCTCATTTGTATGCTGCCTCTATTTATGCAGCTGTGACGCAAAGGTAAGAGTCAGAAACATACTGTGGGTCACCTCACCTCAACACGAGTTCTTCAGTATGACAGCCTTCCTCTGCTCTGTTTTCTCCACCAGACACTGAGTTGCAGTTCATAGACATAGGCTTCTCAGTCCAAGACTATGTGCTTTGTGCTGGGTCAATAGACTGTACTGTTGTATGTTGTGGTTGCGTAATGAGGCATCATAAACCTCGTCACACTTACTCTATTTAAAGAATGGATCGCTTCTGGTACTTCTGGTATTTTGCCTTCAACCTCCTGTAGTGGTCACACTGGGTTATAATACATCATTGACTGTATAGCAGCATTATATGAACCATTGTTCTACTTCATTATACTCCCATGTGAATTTATAAATCCTTTTGTCTCCTTTCACCTTTATTGAACACTGTTTGACATCCAGCACCTGCTTGTCTCGTTTCCTCTCTCAACAGTGCCTGGTGTTTGAGGATGCTCCTATGGGTGTTAAGGCCGGCCTGGCGGCTGGGATGCAGGTGGTCATGATCCCTGATGACAAACTGGACCGAGGCCTTACCCAGGAGGCCACACTGGTCCTGAGGACCATGGAGGACTTCAAACCAGAGATGTTCGGCCTGCCGGCCTATGACTGAGCTCCATCTCCGCTTCCTGCTCAGGACTGAGAACCTCTAATCCACCCCTGCTTTTTACAGCCCATTTTCACCATTTAGCCTAACCAAAGCAATGTAATGATGCTAATCACAATGATCACAATGCTGATCAAAATTATGCAATGACACTGAATTTAATTGTTACTTGGAACTGTGATCAAGTTGTTGTTGTTAGTCGAATATTAATATTTTTGCTTTGGCCAAATAATGAGAATGGCTGAGAATGATTGTTGAATTGTCAACATAATGAGATGTAATTTCTTTGGCTGAACCTTTTACACAGGTTGGTATTGTAAGCAGCTCGCTGGCAGTCAGTTTGAAGGCTTTTATTGTGATATTGACAGCATCCCAAATGGCACCCTATTCCCTACATAGTGCACTACTTTTGTCCAGAGTCCAACACAGTCATTCTAGGTAAAGATGTATCCGTCTCTGAGTCTTAATGTCCTTAAACAGCTTTCTTAACCAACTGGAGTTTAAGCTGTTGGATTCTCCCTATTTTCCCCTCTTCATACCGTTTACCACTCTTTGAGCGGGGCCTATTGAAATGCCAAAGACACTTTTCCCAGCATGGACGTGTAATCCAATAAAGAGGGTGAGAGAAGTCTTCGTCTCTTTCATCTTCACTCATGTTTGCCTCAGCAGTGCTGCTGGAATTCACATGTTCTCTCTTCCCTGAGAAAACCCCTGAAACGACTGAACACAGGAGTAGAGTTACTGAGAGCTGTTCCCTCATCTCCCTCAGGCTGTTGAAATAGGATTTCACTACTGTAGTATCCTTCCATCCACTATCCTGCTTCCCCCTCCCGGCCTCCATGCATCCCTGGCCTTTCATCCTCGACTTGGGCTAATCTCTGAGGCTCTTCCTGCTCTTCTCCTCATCACTCAGCCCCTTGTGCCCTGTAGTGTGTGTGATTGTGTGAATATACACCGAGTGGACAAAACATTAGGACCATGACATAGACAGACCAGGGGAATGCTATGATCCCTTATTGATGTCACTTGTTAAATCCACTTCAATCAGTGTAGATAAAGGGGAGGAGACGAATTGAGGCTGTTCTGAGGGCAAAAGGGGGTGCAACTCAATATTAGGAAGGTGTTCCTAATGTTTTGTACACTCAGTGTACATTCATATGTGTGTGTCTGTACAGTATGCGTGTATGTGTGTGTACTTACGCAATAAGTGTGATGGTGTTAGAACATTATGTCTGAAAAATGTAGTGAGTTCAGGGTATGAATGGGACATAATGGCAAATGCCATTTGCCACAATCTAAAGGAATTATATTTTTCTATTGGAAATGCATTTTCTTTGTATCAAATAAGTGACTACAGAGAAATGTTTCATTGTGGTAAATGGTAGTAGTAGCTCAATGTAGATACAGTATTCACCAGTATTGTTGCACATGGAGTTACCAAGTGGGCATTCAAAATTCAACACGCATTTTCTATTGTGTTTCTGTGGCGTACACTTAATAGTCCATCTCACCCTATTGAAGTTGCTATTCACAAAGCATATTGTCCTTTTGTTGGGACATAATAGCTTTGTCTCTTCTCTTCTGGTATCATTCACCCCCCCCCCCCCCCCCCCCACCCCCCACCCCACCACAGGTTTAGCCTGATGATCCAGCCACTCCCGGCATAGGAAAAGCACTAGCCAATAACGGTAATGTCAGAGCTTACTCTTCCACCTGTAATCCCAGTCCACCTGAGTGCTTGTGACTAGAAGGTCCCCAATGGCTCCTAACTCTCCTAGGAAATTAGCAGTCTCTCCATCTACTGCCAATAACTATTCTTTTATCCCTCCCTACCGTCCTTTCAACTCTCATTCTGCCAAAGACAAAGAGAGGGGGAGAGATAGTGAGGGAAGGGAGAGATAGACTAGCTAACATGTTTCTCAGGTCCGTCTTCACATCGTGCTGGGGAGGGCAGACGAGGGACGGTGGACCCACATTCATCTTCAACGTCAGTTGGTTTTCTATACAGGATTCTATCAGCACTCAGACAAGTGTCCCTCAACAGGGGAAGTTTGAAAAATAGACATTGTATGGGATGACCTCATTTTAGAATGTTATAATAAAGCTTTAATTTTTTTCATCCTCTTACTGGCTGACAAGCCCACTCTGGTTGAAGCTCAATGAGAACGCTCATCTGATAACGGCAGACAGTCCCTGTACATTTTCACTGTCATTCAGACTTGTCTGAGACTTGCATTATCAAGAGAGATACAGTATTGGATGGCTGTCATTAAAAAAGCACAAAGCAGTAATGTCTTTAATGTGATAAAATACCTTAGAAAATGATTAAATAGACACAGAGACTTGTGCATTATTGCTTTGGGATATACCAGTGGGGTTTCTCTTGACTTATGACTCATAAAAGTAATTGGTTTCAGTTATTAATAGCAGCAAGGGCCAACAAACTGTTAAGGGTAAACATTTGTGTGCCCATATTCACAAAGTTCATCAGAGTAGGAGTGCTGATCTAGGATCAGCTTTCCCCATCTTATTTGTTTTCTGAGACTTTGTGAATATGGGCCTTGGTCCTCAAGATATTTATTATCTAAAAGTTCCAAGTTCGTATTTAAAAACATACAAATCCATTACTATTCAAAGAGCAGTTAAGCGGTTGAGGAAGCCATGTGCTAAGTCATGAGGCTGACTTTGTAAACTCAAGTAGTTCTTTGGAGTAGCATTCTGTGATAGTGATAATAAAGAAATCCTCTTTGTTTGCATACTAGCAAGAAAACTCTAAACAAATAGCTGCACTGTGTGCAAGGTGGGTCACCCCCAAGACGACTTAAAAACAGATTTGGTGTGCAGTTGTTATTAAGCAAAAACAGCATCCAAAGTATGCCTATCTTAGGCGTGCAGGCTGTATTTGAGTTGGCAAAAGAAGGGAGCACAAAAGAATGCCAAGATCTGATTGAAGAACTCTCTATGGATGCACTCAATTTTCCTATTCCCACTCTCTGTCTACAGCTTTAAAGAACAAATCCACCCCCAAAAAATATTTTGGTATTTATTTCATTAGTCCACTGTTGATACAGTCCCAAAATGTTTTGCATGTCAGCAGTCAAGATTTCAAGATATTGGACTTTCAAGTGTCACTTGCACCATCATCATGATGATGTGTTTTGCATCATATGGTGCATTATGCATCATCATGATGATGTGGCAAGTGACACTTTTCCTTTTGAACTGTAGACTTGGGAATATGAAAATGGAGAAATGGCATCCATATGAGTTCTTCATTCTGATCTTGGCATCCAAAGGATCCCGTGGAGCTCAGATTGAGATAAGAAAGACTCTTCTGGCCAACAGGAGCTGGTCTTCTGTAGCAGAGGATATGGAGATGAGTGCTTTGCAATCGCTACAAGACTGAACAATCCTTCAAAGATTCAAATATATGCGGCTACACCTCATGGTTTATGCATTATTGTATGATGAGAGAATCTTTTATTACACGAGCAGGTAGCATGTTACAAATGTCGGATACACGTTTGTGGATGCAAGGTAACAAGAATGATTGTTTTAAATGGAACAATGAAAGATGGATTCATCTATTGGAAATTAAGTGTAATGGAACTAGAAATGTTCATCCTTCCCTGGTTTCTCTCTCCGAGTCCCTTGTGCTATTTTGGGATGTGAGAGCAAACATGGAACGTTTGGTTTTTCATTTGAAATGCATTGCCACATTCAATCTAACCACATCAAATTTTAATACCATTCCTATGCTTGTAATTTCAACCATACTGCACAGACTAATTCATCATGTGAAGGGATTCATTATTTAGACTTTAATCACACTCATTTGATTGTTCCTCATCGTGTTCCACAAGATCATAACAATAAGGGACGCATCCTATGTTTCCTATATAGTGCACTACTTTTGACCAGAGCCCTAGTCACAAGTAGTGCACTATAAAGGAAATAGGGTGTCATTATGGATACAGGCATAGAAATACTCAAGGCTGCATGTGTCTGTAGTCATTTTCACATGTGGGGGTTGAAAACAAAGACCAAGGAAGATGAGATGACACGTATAGTCTGCCTTGACAAACGGAGCTTCAGATATTATAGTTGAGTAGTCTTCACAGCTCACAGTTTGCTAAATCTCTGCGTAGGAGGATAGAGTTGAAGGATGTGCCATACGTTGCACATTGCATTGGAGCCACCTTATATGAACGTATATAATCATATAATACGTGGCAACAACACATCTCCTTTTCATAGTTCACAAAATAACAAACACCCACCTTAAAGCAAAGCATAAGGATCTGATTTTCGTGTCAGTTACTAATACAAATGAATCATTGTCCACTAGATGCAGTGGTGTAAAGCACTTCAGGAAAAATACTTTAAAGTACTACTTAAGTAGTTTTTTAGGGTATCTGTACTTTACTATTTATATATTGAACAACTTTTACTTTTACTTCACTACATTCCTAAAGAAAATATTGTACTTTTTACTCCATACATTTTCCCTGACACCCAAAAGTACTCATTACATTTTGAATGCTTAGCAGGACAGGAAAATGGTCCAATTCATGCACTTATCAAGAGAACATCCCTGGTCATCCCTACTGCCTCTGATCTGGCGGACTCACTGAACACATGCTTTGTTTGTAAATTATGTCTAAGTGTTGGGGTGTGCCCCTGGCTATCCATAAATATAAAAAACAAGAAAATGGTACCGTTTGGTTTGCTTAATATAAGTAATTTGAAATTATTTATACTTTTACTTCTGATACTTAAGTATATTTTAGCAATTGCATTTACTTTTGATACTTAAGTATATTTAAAACCAAATACCTTTAGACTTTTACTCAAGTAGTGTTTTACTGGGTGACTTTTACTTGAGTCATTTTCTATTAAGGTATCTTTACTTTAACTCAAGTATGACAATTGGGCACTTTTTCCACCACTGAGATATGACTATCGATTAATGCTCTCTCCGATGCCACGTGTAGTGTTTGCTATTGAAAAACGTGCATGTCATATCCTGTGTAGTGGAACACTTCTACATATGAGGAGGTATACAGTAGTTAAGTACATACATCGTTAACATATGATTTCTTCCTCAGATGATCGATGCCTTGACCCTCACCTCTCCTCTCTCTCCACAGAAACACTAACAGAGAAATACTGGCTTCAACCGTCACAGTATCAAAGTAACAAACGAGTGCTAGTCTCACTGAGGAGCCCCACAAACAGTCTGCTCTCTGTCTGGTGGTATATCTTTGCATATAATCAAATTCTCACAAACCCTCTATACCCAACCGCCCCCCTCTCCATCTCCTCCTCCAGACACCTCTCTAAGAAGACGCCACATTAAAAGCAATGGAAGCAACTGAAATATAAATGAATTTAGCGCGCAAATACATTTAAGGA